AGGTACATGTTCTAGCTATAAGACGATATTACTATAAATCAAAATTTTAAAACAAAAATTTTGTTTTAAGAAACAAATCTAACTTGCAGTGGTTTAAAAAGTTCATTTTTGGCTTCAGCTCTAACATTGCAAAGACCTTGGAAGTCATCACTCCTATCCTTACAAAAATAAAAAAGCTGAAAAAACTGAAAATCAATGAATTTCAGGCATGTACAGGAAAATTGAGGCCATAAGTCAAACTGTCACCCTAAAAACTGGATTGATAGACAAGTCCGGAGAATCACAGATGAGATCAGCTACCTGGAATGGAAGCCACTAGAGCCATAGACCAAAGGAACCCTTAAATGGTAAGTTTGATGACTTGCTGGAGGCTGAGTGTAGACTTACATGGGAATGAGAAACTCCTAGGGACCACTGGCTTAGGAGAGCCCCCAATCTTTTGTGGGTTTTACTTCCAGGAACCCCACCAGGTACTCATGGTGAAGAGCCAAGAAAAATCCTCTGCTCTGGCAGAGGGAGAGGGGAAAAGGAAACTTTTTTAAACAGCCCAGAGCATTCTCCATAACAACGGTCTACTCTCTAGAGGAAAGCACTTTGCCCAAGCCTTATCTGAACTAGGGGAAGGTCAGTTACCAAAATCCAGCTCCTTCTAGGCTCTGTCTCATTTAATGGGGTGAGGGAAGGGGAAATAGCTAAGAAATCATTCTGAAATTTACAGTCCAGGAACACAGTTCCACTACAAGATTGAGATTTAATCATAAGATTAAAGCATGCTTTCTCTCCCTAGTACCCTACCACTACATCAATAGGGCTCCAGTATAATAATTGAGGATTACAGCTGAAAGAGCTGCAAGGCTCTATTTAATGAGCTCTTAGGGAAATCCAAAGAAAATAGGGGACACAAAATGAGAACACTAGAGGAATTTGAAGCCTCTGTCACCTAAAGCCAGAAAAAACATTAAACATGGCCCATCTCCTAACCAGGTTAACATAAAACTTCACAGTAAACATTCATTTGCCTCAGTTTCTATTATCTGATACATCACATCTGGCTTTCAAAAAAATTACAAGGCATACCAAAAGACAAAAAACAGTCTGAGAGACAAAGCAGTCATCAAAACCAGACTCAGATATGACAGGTTTTCAAATTATCAGACAGGAATTTAGAATAACTATGATTAATTAATATGTTAAGGGCTCTAATGGCAAAAGCAGAACATGCAAGAACATACGGCTAAGTAAGGAAAAAGATGGAAACTCAAAGAAATAATGAAAAGGGAAATGCTAGAAATCAAAAACACTACAACAGAAATGGAGAATGCCTTTGATGGGCTTATCAGTAGATTAGACATGGCTGAAGGAAGAATCAATGAGTTGAAGATATGTCAATAGAAATTACTTAAAATACGAAGAGAAAAAGTATAAGGAGAAAAAAACACAACAGAACACAATATCCAAGAATACCAAAAAGAACAGATATACATAAGTGGAATACCAGAAGGAGAAGAAAGAGAAAAGAGAACAGAGGAAATATTGGAAGTAGTAATGGCCAAAAATTTTCCAAAATTAATAACAGACAACAAACTACAGATTGAAAAACCTCAGCAAACACCAAACTAGATAAATACCAAGTATCTATGAGTCATTTCATATTCAAACTGAAGAAAACCAAAGTCAAAGAGAAAATGTCTCCCCCAAGGAAGAGAGGGGGAGAGGGGTCAGGGAGCCTTACCCTTGGAGAAACAAGGATAACAATTACATCAGATTTCTCATCAGAAACCATGCAAGAGAAAATGTAGATAAAAATTTGAAGTGATAAATAAAAAAAACCCTCCAATCTGGACTCTTATATCCTTTGAAATTAAGAATTCAGAGCCAGCACCTGGTTAACCATGTTCACTGTTTTCTCAAACAAACAAAAACTGAGGTAATTTATTGCCAGAAGATTTACCACGAAAGAAATGTTAAAAGAAGTTCTTCAGGCAGAAGAAAAATGATATGGGTCAGAAACTCATATCTACATGAAGAAAGGAAGAGCATCTGAGAAGGAATAAATGGAATAAAGGAATAGGAATAAATAATTAAAAAATTTTTTTCCTATTCTAAGTTGATCTAAGAAATAGCTGTTTGTTCAAAGTGATAAGAACAACTATGTGATTGATAGTAAATGGATAAGTGAAATGATAGACAGCAGTGTTAAAAAGGACAGGAGGAAGGAACTGGTGACATTTTGTTGTAAGATGCATGCACTGACCATGAAGCAGTATATTGTAATTTAGAGTGGACACGGCTAGTTGTAAATATATATTGCCAGCTCTGGGGAAACCAATAAAATGCTTTAAAAGAAGTATAATCAATATACTAAGATGAGAAAATGGAGTCACAAAATGCTCAATTAAAACCAAAAGGCAGGAAAAGAAAGGAAGAAAAAATAGAAGCAAGTACAATGAATAAAAAACAGTTACAAATAAAAAAACAGTTACAAACAGTTATAAAATACAAAAAACAGTTACAAATATGGTAGATTTTAATTCACCATATGAATAATCACTTTAAATGTGAATGGTCTAAATACACCAATTAAAAGACAGAAATTGACAGAGTGAAAAAAAAAACACCCAACTATATGTTGTCTTTAAGAAAGCCACTGTAAATATAAAACACAGATAGGTTAAAAGTGAAGGGCTGAAGATATGCCATGACAACGTTCATCAAAAGAAAGTTGTGGTAGCTATATTAATTTCAGAGAAAGACTTCAGAGCAAGGAAAATTGTCAGAGACAAAGAGGGGCATTGTATAAAAATAAAGGGTCAATTTCTCCAAGAAGATTCAGCAATCCTCAAAGTGTAGGCAACTAACAAAATAGCATCAAAGTACATGAGATAAGAATTGATAGAACTACAAGACGAAATAGACAAATCCATTCTTGTTGTTGGAGAATTCAATACGCCTTTTTTAGTAATTGGTAGAACAAGCAGGCAGAAAGTCAGTAAGAACACAGTGACCTGAACAGCACCATCAATTAATCTGATTTAACTGACACTTATAGATTATTCTATTCAACAATGACAAAATATACACACCACTCAAGTTCATGTGGAATATTTACCAAAATATACCACATTCTCAGCTGTAAAACTCATCTTAACAAATTAAAAAGAAAAGAAATCAGAAAAACTATGTTCTCAGACCACAATGGAATTAAAGTAGAAATAACAAATAGAGTTGGAAAATTCCAAAATACTTTGAGACTAAACAGCATACTTCTTCTCAAGCATACTTGAGAAGAAGTCTCAAGAGAAATCTAAAAATAACTTGGACTAAATTAAAATGAAAACACAGTTTAACAAAATTTATGGAATGCAGCACAAAAGTGCTTAGAGAGAAATGTGTAGCATTCAAATGTATGTACCAGAAGAAAGATCTAAATCAATAATTTAAGCTTCCCTCTGAAGAAACTAGAGAAGAAGGAGAAGTTTAAGCCTAATTCAAGCAGAAGAAAGGAAATAATAAAAATTAGAGTAATAATCAATAAAATTGAAAACAGGAAAACATTAGGAAAAAAATTAATGAAACCCAAAGCTGATTTTTTTTAATCAATAAAATTGATAAACTTCTAGCCAGGCTAACAAAGAAACAAAGAGAAGACAGAAATCGCCAATTTAGTCCCTATTGGTCCCACGAATATTCAATCACTGTTAGTCCCACGAACATTAAAAAATAATAAAGAAATAATACTATGGACTACTCTATCCCTACAAATTTGATAAAAGATAAAATTTGATAAAATTCCTTAAAAGAAACAAACTGCCGAAACTCACACAGAGAGATAGATCAGAGAGATAGATGATCTGAATAGGCCTATATCTATTAAAGGAATTGAATCAAAACTTAACAGCTCTCCAAAAACGAAAGTACCAGGCCCAGACGGTATCACAAGTGAATTCTACCAAACCATTTCAACTATAATCTCTTCCAGAAAATATAAGCAGAAGTAACACCTCCTAAGTCATTCCATGAGGTCAGCATCACCCCACCCTCACCTCTCAGTGCCTTTCTTTTCCTGCCTGGAGGCCAAAGGTTGGCTGGACTTTGAGCTCCACTGGCTCATCTTCCCATCTCTCAGGTACAGGTGGGTAGCAGAGGCGGGATGCACTGTCAGCCTCCAACAGAAAGGGTGCTGGGCGCTAAGGACCTGCAAGGCTGCACCGCTGCCAGTAGCAATGCCACTGCCTTCTTGGGGCCCAGCCAGCACCAGAAACAGCCCCAGCTTAGAGGAGTTTTCACACATTTTAATATTGTTTTAATTGTTACCAACAGTAATGATTGATGATTGACAATAACATCTTCTCTTTTTAAAAGTCAAATTTCCCTCCTTCTCTAACCAGATGTGTAATACATCCCAGAATAGAAAAAAGCACCTTCTCCCTCCCTGCCTGTTTGCATTCATGCATGTTGAGCCCCATCTACTTTCAGTTCCTCCTATTGGGTGTTCAGAGGTCCTGAGTTGACTCTCAGACTCAGGGCCACACAGATGGGCTCTGACAAAACTGGTCCCCCCACTACCCAGAAACTAGAAAAAGGTTTTACAACAGTTGGGAGTTCGATTTGGATGTAAATTTTTCTGAAAAGACTCTTACCTACAGACCTGTCTTTGGAGGTAGGGATCAAGGAGGTTATGGGGGAAATGAGAGGGCTCAGAGGCCACAAGGAATCATCCAGCCTTGTAGCAAGCCCCAGAGGGACCAGGGAATTCCAGCAGTGCCCACCCAGCTGCATGGCAGTTACAAGAAAAGAAGGTGATGTGAGTCAGGGTGTCCTTAAGTTTCCACTGCAACGGCTGGCTAATCCACTGCAATTTTTGAAATCTTACTTCCTCACTGTTTATTGATTTGTCATCCATTCTGTTTATATCTATAGAATGAGGCTGGGAAGACAGAAATAATGAGTGTAGATGCCAGCCTTAGGAGAGATGCTGGACACAGGAGGCCAGGACTAACCTGCCGCTGATGGGGGTACCTGTACTTGCCATCTTCTCCTTAGGCCACAGAGCTGGCCTAAGATCACTCTTGATTAGATTTTCACTGCCTCTGTCCTTTCCAGGAGCTCTGACAAGAAAGTTTGCCCACTGATGGATCCTTCGGGTGCGGCTCCTAAAGGGTAAAAGGAAAGTGAAATAGCTGAACTGTGTGATGTGCCTGCACCAACACGCTGGTCTTCTCTCCGCCCACTCTCAGCCCCGGGGGGTGGGGTGGGGGGAGGAGCAGGGCCATTTCCTGGCATCCACGGAAGAGAGGGGACCACTTGTTCCCGCAAAGGAAAGGGGGCAGGAAAGTCTCTTGAACTCAAACAGATCAAATTTGCTTTGAGGTGACATGGCATAGTGGCGACGGGGAGGAAGAAAATGCCACGTTTGCTCCTGCGTCTTGCCAAGGTGACTGTGAGACGAAAAATGAAAAAGGCAGACATTTCAGATCTTCTCTTAGGCCCATGGGCTGGCCAAGCACAGTAGTGAGCCTGGACTGGACGAGTTAGACCCAGTGTTCAGACACAGGACTGGAGAGAGCCGAAATGCTGGGGAAAATATTCTTCAAATTTCTGGAAAGCAACCAGAGGCCAGAAAGAACCCTCCCAATTCCTACAACCAGAAGGAAGTGCTAAGTTTGGGCAGAGAAGCCTGATGTGCAAGTCTAAGTTTTCTTGAATATGTGGGCATTTTACAAATGTAGCCAGGAGTGCTTGGGAAAAAAACTGAGCTCCAAATAGTGACAGGAATCTCAAAGAAAGTGACGGGCTTCTCATTAGATGGGGAAAAGTTTGGAACTGAGACTACCTACACCTTAAAGAACCATGTGATGATGCTAGCTAACAAGTGTGTTACATTTATGTTTGTACATAATTTTTTCACTTACACCCAACCCTCATTTTGTAAAGGATTTGAAGCAACTGAGAAAAACACACTACATCAGCATCAAGTTGAAAGATAAAGAAATAGGAGCAAAGCACAAATAAAATAAATAAACAAAACCAGAAGACTAGAAATCCAGGCAGGACAATGGGTCAAATCAGAGATGAACGGGAGTCAAGGTATCTGTAGAATCCAAGGTCTTGGTCAGGGCCATGGGCCAAAGTAGGTGAGAGCTGGGAAGCCTCAAAGTAGTATGTTTCGGAAGTATGTTCCACTGAATCTGTCTTCTTCTGGCTCATTATAGATGCGCTAGAAAATTTGCATAAATATGTTTGCCAAGTGGAGGGGACAAAAGATTTCTACCCTTCTGCCCGTGTCTGTTCTCTTTCCCCCAAAAAAGTGAACACACATCTGGCTGGGACAGATTCCAAATTCCAGCACATGATGAGGCCAGTGGGCAGTGTTCGTGTGCCTACCAGCTGCTACACACACGTGGGACTGCCTGCCTCTCTCTCTCCCTCACTTTGGTGGCAAAGAGGCTAGTAAGCTATGTCTCCGTTAGACACCACTGTTCCCAGCTTTGGGCCTCCGTTGGGCACAATGTCCCCGACAAGGCCTGACACAGACTAGACCAGCTGACATAAATATGCCAGCTTCTTTGCTTATGAGCACAAGGCCTTTGGTGTTCCTCAGCTGATGGTGGTAAGACTAGGACTTACAGGGTATTCCTGTCAAATTTACAAGAAAATCTTACTTGGCAATATCCTGCATTAGCCCAGATAACGATAGGAACTGTAGCTTCTGTTTTCCACTGTCTTTTTTTCTCTGTGTTCACTAGAGAATCATTCTCTCTGGGATAAGATCAGGGATGCCTGGACCAAGCCCACTGATGAACCATCAGTTGATCCCTGGCTCCTAATGGAGGGGGGGAGTTGTCTCCTTTTTGTTCCGGAAGACCTGAGGGATGAGAAGATTCTGACCTGCCTCCTTGCTCTGTTCTCCCACCCAGATTTAGGTCAAGTAGGTGATAATCTCTGAAGGCGAGTCAGTGCTTTCTTTCCACCTGAAAAATTTCTTTCCACTTCGTTAAGTGTGCTGAGATCTGACACTTGGAATATAGGTGTGAATTGCAGAGTCCTGATCACAGTCCAGTGCTATGAGTTAATTTGCTATTAACTCGCCATAGTCGACCAAACTCCCATCTTTGAGCGCTAGTGGGATGCTCACTACCAGGTCACATAACCCATCCCAGATGGATCACATTTCTGTGAAGATCTGTTGCCCACAATTCACTCTCTGCTATCAACTTTTTAATCAGTTGGGATTTGGAGGTACAAGTAACCAAAACTGACTCAGACTAACTCAGACAGAAAATCAATTTCTTAGAAGTATATTGGGTAGCTCAAAGAATTTATAAGAAGGCTGGAGGACTGAGATCAGAAAATAGGCAGTCCAGGCAGAAAGGTCCTCAGCCCAGGTCATGGTATGTGGCCATCGATTTGACAAATGTGTTCTTTTCCATTCTGATTAAAAAGGAGGATCAGAAACCATTTTCCTTCTCGCTTGACAGATAAGATTATTCATTTACAGTTTTGTCTTGCGGTTATATGAACTCACCCACCCTTTGTGGTACCCTAGTCCCAAGAGATCTGTATCACCTGGACCTCTCAAAGAACATCACATGGATCAGTTATGTTGGTGACATCCTGGTGATCAGACATTATGATGAGCAAAAGAAGCCATACATCAGAAAGTGCATGCCGTGTGTTTTCATTTATGTAAAACTTGAATACAGAACAAAACAAATCTGTAGTCATAGAAGAGCGATAATCATAGACATCATAGATCAGTGAGTGCCTGACGCTGGCTTGGGGAGGAAGCTACCTGCAAAGGGCACAAGGGAACTTTCTGGGGTGATGGAAATGGTCTATATCTTAATTGTGGTTGTAATTATCAGGTTAGCCGAAAACTTCGTTTGGCTTTTTCCTTAAGATTTTATGAAAAAACCTGAATGAACACTTTGGACAACCCAATACATTTGTTAAAATTCATCAACATGCACACTTAAGTTGAATGCATTTTATACTTCAATAAAATTGAGCTCTTGCCCGATGTAGGTTAGCCTTAGTTTCAAGGATTCTTGGACCCTAGAACTGTTGTTTCCCATCTTTTTTTCTGAGGGATAGGATACCTTACAGGTGTCCTGGAGGGGGAACCCATGGACCGAATACATTTGAGAGTCATTGATTTAAATAAAGTTAAACAGATTTCTACATTAAAGGGTTTCTCACAGACCCTACATGCCAACACACATTAGAAATCTTCAATCGGATGTATAGAGGGGGCATGCCCTGCTTCCCTGGAGTGGCTGCCCTAGGGTCTTCTCCTGGCCCTGGTTCTGCCCTAGATCCAGTTTCCACACATTTCCAGCTCCCAACTGCCAGCCTGGCTCCGACACACCTTCCTGCCTGGAGTTCTGCTGCCTACCACTGCATGATATCAGTTTATATTCAGGTTTCCTTTGATTTCAATTTTCTTTGGTAATCATTTTATCCTGACAAAGTACAGGCATTTCTGAGTCACCAAACCTCCCCTTTGTCTTTTTGTTTGTTTTTTTAAGTTTGATGATTTCTAGTAAATTTATTCAGTTGTGTAACAATCACCATCACCACAATTCAGTTTAGGTTCATTTTCATCACCCCAAAAAGTATAGAAGGAGGACGGGTCCTGGGGAAATAAAAGTGGGTAAGGAGGCCAATAGATGGTGGATTCCCAGTTCCCGGGGACCCTGGGGCTGGACCCTATGCCTCCTCCCCTTTGTACCCACCTCCCCAGGATGGGCCCGATAGGCAGCAACCCCCGCCCCCGACCCCCAAATGCCCTGGGAATCTCACGAGTTTCCGGAGGTGGAGGGAGGCTGCAGGCACTGCGGGCGGCCTTGTCTTTAGCTCTGCTCGCTCCGCCCAATTACTTTCACTTTCCTTTCCTCGGAAGCCCGGCCCTCACCGTGTGTGGAAAAGCACAGACTTCCTGTTTCGTCCACTGGTATCTCCCTGCCCTTCTCTCAGTCTCCCAGGAGCCATCCCCGGCCAGCCCCTGGACCCAGCAGGGGGCAGGAACAGGGAGCAATCTCAGCGTCCAGGTGGGTTTTCGTCTCGGCTGCTTTATTCACTTTTGGTGACTGGCTTTTACAGTTAAGACCCTGGCAGCAGCTGCAGGGTGAAACTCAACAGTTTAAACTGTGAGGCTCTTTCTTTGTAAAATAATGGTTTCCAAAGAGGTAGAGAGGGGATATGGAATTTAATAGGAGACTTAAAAAGAAGACGGATGAAGAGGGGGAGCAAACACACAGTTCGGTTCTTTTTTCCCTAAACTCTAGCCTGTTATTGTGGATGGAACTTGAGATTTGCTCTGTACCTTCCTTGTCCATGCAGAGTGATCCTGCACTCTGCCCCCAAAGGGCAACTCATCCGTTATTCATTGTACAAGTGACTAGAGGTAGTTGGGAAGCTAGTGGAACAGAGAAAATAAGGAGAGTACATTTAATTTCCTCTAGAGTGTATTAACTTTTTAATATCTTTTCTTTAAGCACATTCATGATAATTTTCTTGAAATAAATTCCCAGAAGTGGAATTTAGAACTCAAGGGAATACATATTTTAGGGTATTTGGTACCGATTACTAAGTTAACCTCCAGAAAGTTTGGACCTATTTACATCTTCACCAGGACTGTCTATGATTATTGCTATTATTTTTATCCTGACTAATTTGATAGGCAAACGTTATTAAATTATTTTTGTTTGCACTGTTCCGACTACTAGTGAGTTACCATGTTTTTTACATATTAATTGTGCATTTGACTCAGTTGCCTGTTTATGTCTTTTGCACTGAATGTTTGTCTTTGCCTATTCATTTTTCAGACCCCTTTACATAATACAAACCTGAATGCTCATATATGAGACACGGTAAAATGCACTAGTGAGAAATGGGACTTTGGTCAGGTGAGCTCTGCCTTGCCACCAAATACCTTGGGCTAGTTGCCTAACCTCTCTGTGCTTCATGTTCATCCTTGGCAATCATAACAGATGAAGAATGAGGGTTATGGAGGATGTTCTATTCTGAATGCTGTAGTATAATTAGTCATCCAGGGCCCCTTCCTCTTCTTAGCATGTGATCATTCTGGTGTTTTCTGGCTCTGTGCTGATCTTTGCAATATCCTTCCCCTATGCAGATGGTGAACGGTAGATTTCTTTCCCATCTGTTCTCTATCTTCTAGGATTTCATCACAATTCTAGATCCCCTGTGGCATCGTCTCTTGTTTTCTAGTACTGTTGTGGAATGATTGTTTTATACAATGTATATTTTTTCCTGTTAACCTTAACTATTTGGGAATGAGGAGAAAGAGACAGGGTCGCTCAATCTGCCACTGGGATTAAATCCCTAGAAATAGTCATTAATTAACAGTTCAACTTTTTCTTTGACACAAGGTGAAGTTGGAAAAATGGAATCCATGTTTGTTTTGTTTTTAAAGAAATCTCTAGGTGATCGAAGTTTTTGTCAGTGACTCCCTTTTCTTGACAATTTGTCAAGAATATCATAGGTACATTTTCTTCCTGTTATAACTTACCAATATTTTCTCATGGCCTACCAATGGTCAAATATTGTAATGTCGCATGGGCACGGGAAAAGACATGTCTGTTCTGAGATGTGAAATTGACACATAAAATAAATCAGTCAAGTCACCTTTGCTAATCATGCCTTTCACATCCTTCGTGTTCTTATTTATGTCAGGCCTGTTTGCGTGTCAGAGATTGTAGGTGGTTTAATAAAGTTTCTAAATATTATCAGGTTTCCATCTTCCTACTCGTCTTTGAGCGTTCCCTTTTGTGTGAGCATTGCTAGTGTATACTTAAACTGAGTCCCGGCAATCTTGGTTAACTCAGCTCAGTGTAGCCACAGACCATAGTATTTAAGACTACACACCTGGAGCCAGAAAATTGGAATTCGTCCCTCTCTACCACTTCCAAGTTTTGCAACTTAGGGCGAGTTATTAAACCTCTCTCTGTCTCAGCGTCCTTGACAATATAAATAGGTGCAATCCAGACTGAAAGGGTTTTGTGAAGATCAAATAAGTTACTGCATGTGAAACCCTTAGTACACAGTCTGGCATACAGGAAGCTCACGGTACATAGTAGCTCTATTTAGTACCAGCAGCCCCTTTGGGATTTCAATGTCACATTGTGGGTCACTTTCAGCTTCTATTGTTGCTGGGCATTGTCACTGCTTCCTATACCCATGAGTCTTTTTGGCAGATGTGGCTTTTCAGACGGCTAAGGGATGCCGTTGGGACCAGGATGCCTGTCTCGAGATGCTGTACAACACGGAGAGCGGCTCCCCTAACTCCTTAGTCTTTGCTTCTCTTTTCCTCTTGTGCCTCTTCCGTAGGAGATTCACCATGACCAGGACCTTGAAGGAGGTTCTTCTACAGCACTTTATACATCAGAAGCTGGAGATTGCTTATGCCATAAACAAGGCATTTCCCTTCTTCGAAGGTCTCCGAGACAACTTCTTCATCACCGAGAGACTGTACCAGGTAAGTCACATTGACCGCTTTGCCATGGCAACCCAGCCCCCACCAAGAATGCCGGATCATTGAGGTCTCAAACCACAAGACCCCGGGGCTTTTAGAATTTGGAAGTTCCAGACAAAAATGGTCATTACCAGGGAAAGAAGGTGTCCAGGGTAGGTGACCTCACACCAGATGGCTTAAAACAAGGAAATGTGTTCTCTCACAGTTCTGGAGGCTAGAAGTCCAAACTCAAGGTGTTGACTGGGTTGATTCCTTCTCGAGATTTTCTCCTGTGTTCTGGTGGTACCAGCAATCCGTGGTAAACCTGGCTCACAGAAACGTCACTTAACTCACTGTTTCCATCTCTACACTGCCTTCTCCTCTCTGTGTCTTCTCCCTTTCTCTTCCCTTACAAGGACACTCGTCACTGTGATTTAGGGCCCACCGTAATCCAGGATGGTCTCATCTCAAGATCCTTAATTACATCTGCAAAGACCCTTTTTCCAAATAAGGTCACTTTCAAGGTTTCAAGCGGACATATCTTTGGATATGAGGAGGCACCATTCAACCCACTAAGGGTACCATCTCAACGCTTAAGAGCTTGTGACCCACAGTCCATTCTGATGGGAAGCAAGACAGGCAGTGGGAGATATGGCTATGTGGACAAAAATGGCACTCTTTTCATATAATTTTGGTTGTTTAAAGCGTTTCCTGAGCCCCAAGCCCAGAAAAGTGCTAGCACTGGTAGAACAATCTTCCCCCAGTCTTGGCCTGTTTGGATCCAACCCTTTTTCATATCATAACTCAGATGTCACTCCTCAGAGAGGGTCCTTGGCCCACTCATCTAATTAAGACCCCCTCATTATTCTTCCCCATAACAATCCATGCTTTCCCTTCATAACACTGCTATCAATAGGAATTGAGTATTTTTTAAATTTGTGTTTATTATTTAATGCCCATCTTCTCCACCTGACAGTGCCTCTCCCCCAACATGGGTAGCACCATGCTGGTCTTATCTGTTGCTAGGTACCCTAGGATGAGCTCACGGAGCCTAGTCATTTCTCAGTAAGTATTTTGTAGTTGATTCTCTCCTGCCATGTTTCTCCTTTTGGCCAACCTCTCATCAGGAGGACTTCTCTGATTTCCCATTTAGGCCACTTCAAGTCCAAGAGAGAAGGAAAGAGAGAGCAGAGGCTAACAAGCAATCCACAGAATTGCCACCTGTGACCAACTCTTAGGTCCATTGCTGAAGAGTCCTGCCCAAAGCCTTGGAGAATTACACAGTAGCAGCCTTTGACTCCACTTTCCTTCCTTAACATTTCTCTCTTCCCTCAAGTATACCTAAAATAAGGTTCACAAGAGCCTTATTTTCAAGAATGCTGAATTCCTGTGACCATCCATATATATATGAAGCTCCAAAAGTAAACCTGTGGAACTGTGATTTCTCTATGTCAGAGAATTTTACTATTGACATTTTGCACTAAATTCCTTCTTAAGAGAGCAGAATCACTTTCTTACAGCTTAGAAAACCACAAGTGTGTACTAAATCTCCATTCCATGTTATAATCATTTATAATAATCCTTTACTTCGCTTTTAAAGGAATCTCTGGAAGCCTGTAGAAATATGGTCCCTTTATCCAGGGTCGTGTACAACATCCTCACTCAACTGGAGAATACGTTTAGTCTGTCATTTCTGGAGACGTTGTTCAGCCAAATAAACCTGAGTGAATACCCCAACTTGATGACGACCCTCAAGAGCTTCAAAAGGGGTATGAGGCTTCTGGAATAACTTTGGGGCTATAGAAACATGATAGAAGTTGCTACGCTAAAAGTTTGGGCTGGTTTTCTGCCTTGTGGAACATGCACTTGAACTGCCCACTTTCTCTTTGGGAAGAGATGGACCGTTCTCTCTCACGAGTGGGACAGGAAAAGCAGCCCCTGGCCCTGGTTCTTTAAGATGAATTTCTAGAAGACACAAACATTTCTGTCTTACCTGTTCTATGAGTTGGGGGGAAATTGTACAATTTAGCATACTGGACAGTCTCTAGGGAAGGGGATGCATAAAGTGACAGAGACCAAGTCTGGCAGAAGGACACGGAGAGCTAGAGAGGAAGAGAAATGGATAGAGATGGATAATAATAAGTATCTTTTTTTTTGAAGTATGGTTGATATACAATGTTGTGTTAGCCCCAGGTGTACAGCAAAGTGACTCAGAGATATATATATATATATATATATATATATATATATATATGTTCTTTTTCAGATTCTTTTCCATTATAGATTGTTGTAAGATATTGAGTATAGTTCCCTGTGCTACACAGTAGGTCCTTGTTGTTGGTTTGTTTTGGTTTGGTTTGGTTTGGGTTTTGTTTGTTTTCTGAGTGCTTACTATGTGCCAGGCATTATCCCAGGCACTTTATATGATCATC